CAGGTCAGATTCTGTTTTAGTCCATCATTTCTTTTCAGGCGATTGGGTTTCCACTTGATATGAAGTGCTTCTAGTGATATGAGACGTTCTTTGTGATTTCTGGAGTTTTTCTGGATGATGATTTGAATATTTTCATAATCGATTTTGTGGCCTGATTCTATAGCGTGTAAGCCACCACCTATGGTTGATGATTTTTCAAGTTTTTTCTAGTTCAACAGGATTTCTCGGTGGTCGACGAGATGCTTTGATGTGTTCTTTTCTTCTGATTTTGATTTTTCTCTAGAGATATTTGTCCAATGTATAGACACAATTAGATGGAGAATCTTTCGGTATTTCGTCTTTTATATGGACAAGGTTGCTTTGAAGTGTGTCTGATGTTTTGAAGAAAACTCTAATGTCGAGCTGATTGAGTACTCTTCTGATATCGTCTGACGTCTTCTCTCTATATGGAATGACAACTGTTGATGTCCATGTTTTCGGAATGCGTTTACCGCCACACTTAATGTCTGTGTTGATTTTAATATATTAAATATTTCCATAGTGAAATTTAGAACAACACATTTAAGTGAACAATATTGTTTTCAATTAGATCTCATCAGGCTTAACTCTAATATATATATGCATATATATATATATATATAAGTTTACAAGTAAAATTCAAATATAAACCAATCATGGTGTTTTGTCTATAGGATAATACGATAGTGAATATAAATTGTGCAATTAGTTATAATAGTAGTAATGATAGTAATAATAGTAATAATAATAATAATATTAATATTAATAATAATAATAATGGTCTTATCAATAATAAGGATGAAAAAGTGAAGTAATCTGTGATAACACGAATACTGATGAAAAACAGTATGATTAAACAAACAATTGTTCAGGTGGGCATAGTAGTCGATAAAGGCTAGTAAAAACAAATGAACCGATTACGTAATGTTAGATTGTAAGGGGAAAGAAATGAAACACGTTTATAATGAAGATAAGATAAGATTAAGGGATGATAAGAAAGGGGTTGGAACTATAAATAAAGGGTGGTGTAGAAGTCTTTAGTTGGTTATGTCTTATTAGGCCAACAAGGGAGGGATAATGGCTGTACGAACTTCTTTTGAATGAAGGCATAGTTTAGGTTTCATACTTCGAATGCCTATTACCTCAGCTGTGTGTGTGCAGTAGACGAATACGAAGTCTATTGGAAAACTTCGGTGGGATACGATGAATTACATTGAAGGCTGTCGTTTTCTCCACTACATGACCACTATCAATTAAATGTGACAGAATTGAGCTACGGTTTGTTTTTGTCTGTCCTTTGCCAAACCACGATGAGAGATGTTCACTAACACGTTGCCTAAGCTGTCTAGTAGTGCGACCAACATAACTGTCATCGCAGGTGCAGTTGAATTGATAAATACACATAGATGTGGCAAAACTATCTACCTTATCCTTGGTTTGCGTCCCAATCATTCGTTGGCTAGAGAATGATAAACATAGGTGTGCTGTGTAAAATGTTCTTCGTATGCTCCTTGAAAGTCTTTGGAATAGAATCTCACTAGATAAGTCACCATGAAATTGTAACTTAATCAATAGAGGTTTCTTATATGCAGTCAGAGTCTCAGGTTTTTCCTCTAGTGTTTTCATATATTTCTCTATGAAACTACTCAGATAGCCCATCTCCGTCAATGAGTCGTGAATATATTCAAATTCCTTTTGTAAGAGGTCATCCGTACATATCTTTCTTGCTCTGCTCATGAGATATTTAACAATATTTCTTTTATATTTAACGGGCACGTAACTAAGGAATTCTGTGTATTGTCCTGTGAATGTGCTCTTTCTGTACACGCTTCTCCCAATTGACTCATCTTCTGTCCTACTTAGCAAGACATCCAGGAAATGTAGTTTATTCTCCTTCTCCTCTTCACAGGTAAAGGTAAGCGAAGGGTGGATGTTGTTGAATTTCAGCAACAATTCGTCTGTGTTAACATTCTCATCAGCTAAGATAAACGTATCATCAACATATCAATAATACATATCAAACTTCTTAATGATGTCCTTCAATTTCCCGTTTTCAAGTTTTGCGAGAAAGAAGTCAGCTAATATTGGGCCTAATGGTGAACCCATAGCTATTCCATCTACTTGTCGATAGTGTGAATTATTGAAGACAAAATGAACATTCATTGTGCATTTAAGAGGTAATTCTTTGAGGCTACACAAGGGGATTCCTAAGTCTAATTTCCTTTCAGTGATTTCTTGACAGATATAATCTACTGTTTCCATAAGCGGTATGTTAGTGAATAGTTATCATACATGAATGGATAACATGCGTTTATACCTCACATTAGTCTCCGATATTTTAGAAATAAAGTCGAAGAGATCACTAATTCTATGTTTCTCGATTTCTCTGTGCAAAGGACCCAGAATCTTAGCTAACTATTTCGCTGTTCCGTGAAATGGAGAATTATACAAATCTAAAACAGAGCGAAGAGGAAGACCCGGTTTGTGCAATTTTGGTAGACCGTAAAGACATGGAGTATTGGTACCCGTTGGTTTCACAGACCCATACGTGGCTGCTGATAATACTCATACTTGGTTCAGTTTTTTTGAGGGATTTTGTTGATGATTTTATGGTGATTTTTTTTAATGAAGTTCCTTGGGTAGTTGTTTTGCTTGAGAGTTTCAGTAATGTTTGATATTTCTTCTTCTTTTTCTTGCTCATCCGTTATGAAAGAGTGTGCTCGTCCAAGAAGACTTGAAACAACTAAAATCTTTGCTCTGATGGGGTGTGATGATTTGAAGTGTAAATATTTACTGGAGTGGGTTTTCTTCCTGAATATGAATATACTAAAATGTCCTTTTTTCTTTCTCTCAACTAGGCAGTCTAGAAATGGTAGTTCACCGACGTCTGATTCTGCTTCCGAAGTAAACTGGATTCTGGGAGATACACCGTTTATTTTCTCCAGGAATGAATTGTGTAGATCTCGTTTTAGTACTAAAAAATTGTCATCCACATATCTTAACCATATTTTAGGAGTGAGTATGCTTGAAAAGATGTTATTTTCGAATCTATTCATGAAAAGGTCGGCGACTATTGGGGAGACAGACAGACCATTTGTCTGTCTGTATAAATTCCCTTCAAATGTAAAATAATTACTTTCTAGACAGAATTTTAAGCTCTTAATTATTCCACTGGTGTCCAGTGGAAATTTCTGTGATAGCGTTGTATCTGTTTCTAGTAGACTGGGAATGAATATTCTTTGAAATAATTTCTTTTCAGATTACTAATAATAAGTAATAGTAATATTATCTCTTTTCCTAGAATATACCTCCCCTTATTTCACCTCACATATTGGTCATTTCATGAAGAACCCCTTATTGCAGTGCTACCATCTCTCCCTCTCTTTAGTACATATTACTTTGTACTAGCCACTCCACTCACCTGACACCTTTCACAACCTTGAACTGACTTGTCAATTTTTTCCTACCCCACATTCAACGAATCCATTATGACTAATCACCACCATTGTCACTCGTTTCGCAATATTTTGTAACTGAGATCAGCCCAGAGCACGTTTATCACACAAATACTAGTATTTATTCTGACACCCCATGACTAATCTGTTAGTCTACGTAAAAATGTATCCGCCATATAACTGGTCATTATTGTAACGACAACAATGGATTAAAGAGCAAGTAGCATCTCCAGAACCCATTGATGGTGACAACAGGTGACTACCTAGCTCCTCTATTGAGAAACATATTACAGAGGAGACAGGACATAAAAGTGGTGCTTACACGTAATTTAAACCTATCTTTAATACGTGTTTTGGGGGAGTATCTTAAACTTAGGACGTTTAAACCACCTTTATGCTTTCAAAGCAGCAGTTCGTTATCACGCTAAACCTACCTTTCTTGGTAAACTTTGTTTTGATACCATGTACTATTACCTCTGTTATTTGGTTTAGTAATCTTCATTGTTATTTTGACCTTCAATATGTCCTTCTAACTTAACCTAGGTCCACTGGTGGATGGTGACTAGCAGTGGAATCTAGGATGCTCATTTCGGCCTATTTGGAGCTCGTCATAGCTGGATGTACTTGCATTCCCCAGTGAGTGAGTGACGGTTTTCGCACTGGGCCTCGAACCTAGTGCCTATAGTTTCAAACACCAAAGCGTTATTCACTAAATCCATTGAGCCACCATTGCCACCTCTTGTGCAACGGGTCTTATTCACTATTTAATTCAATTTAGATTTTCTAGGATCCTACTGCTAGTCACCATCCGCAAAGTGACTTCGAGTTACATGACCAGACATAGTCGAAGCATCTGCACAAGGAGCCGATATGTCATCCTGAGAGTGAGCACTTCGGTCCATTCACAGTCTACGCGACATTCTAAAATGGATCAAATAATTGACCTAAGTCCATTTTCTCACCTCCTAACTCTTTGTTATTTTAGCATGTATATATTCCTAATGACAAGTCCGTGTGTGAGTGTTCAGATTGTTCGAAATGTGTTGCGCAAATACAACATTAAACGATTCAGACAAATTACGTCTTCTTTTTGCTCTGTCTAAATTCACAAAGGGAACTAACTGTTTCAAACAAATATTATACTTTATAATTGTAAGAACCTGAAGAGGAGAAAATTATTAAAAATAAATATTCTTCGTCTAATATAATAAATAACCAATCAAATTTTAACTATCGTTATCCAATCATTAGCCTCCATCCTCATAGGTCAGTTGTATGAGTAAAACTTTAGGACAAATTTTGTAACACATTTGCTCTTCAGTGATTTCTGTATCTCTAAATTTCTATTGTAAGAGTGGATTATTTTCTGTGCATTTCATGAAAATTAATTGTTTAAACAAATTTAGAACAATGCAGTTCTCTTGTCATCATGAAAAATGACATGTATGCATGCAATTGCAAATCTCTTTTTGTATTTGACACAAACGTCGAGTGATTCAACGCTGAATAAACTTCATCCAGTACAAAATGGCTACTGAAGCTGATCATCAAATGAGTAAGTCAAAGAATGTTGTGCATATTTTGAGTTGATTCAATTAAATTTTAAAAAAATAAGCTTGATTTCTATTTGTAAAGCCAACATGTATTATTCCAGAGGAAGAAGACCCTAAAGTTACATACAGGATCTCATCAAGAGCTAACACCGGTTAGAGAGTACTGGACAACTGTCTCCGTTATTCTGGTGCCTGAGACTCTTCATCAGTAGGAACTCATCACCAGGGTTCGAACCCAGTGCCCCCTGGTCACAAGGGGAGCTCGTAGACCATTAGGCAGCCACTGGGACCTACCAATCTAATGGCGAGCCCATGAATTCCAGCTTCGGCCGATGCGCCTTGTAACCGGAAGGTCTTGAGTGCTGCCGAAGAGTCCTAAATTAAGCTGACGAAACAGATGCCCAGTACTTCCTACCGGTATATCCCAATAGTTCTTTAACCGATGTCAACTTATCCTGTAACCAATGAAATCCCAGACAAACCAGCACATGAACACACTGACGTATTGTCTCCATACAGTCTAGAACTGCAAACGCAAGCTGCGCTTTCCACCCTATTATTGACTTATCAGTCGGATGTACCTACATACTCCCAAACAGGTAATGATAATCTTCGCCCTCAGACTCGAATCCCTAGCCCTTGTCATTTAAAATGCAAAAACAATATTCACAAGCCCCCTATGTTCAGCATCACTTTTGTCTTACTTGGGATGATGTGACGCCAAAGAATTGACACAGCTATCTAGCTGTTAGAAAATCCACTAAGAATTCATGTTCCGATAATCTTGTTAGCTAACTCTGAAATTGAGGAAGGTCAACATGGCTGAATTCATTGAAGATGTCGATTACAAAATTCCCCAAAGCTCAGTAGTCATCAGATTCTAGATTTATATTATCATAAATGTCCAGGATTGGGAAAAACTAGTTGCCAATCTTCTGCACTTCAAAATGCATACATCAATTTTAGTGGAAGCAAATACATAGGTCGTACAGAAAGGCAATTGCCTACTCGCATGACGGAGCATTTGCCAAAGTGGTTGAAAACAGCTGAATTCAAAATGCCCCAAAAAAGCTCCATAACAAAGCATCTTGTCAACTAAGGACATGATATTGACGCTGTCCAGTCATTGACTGTTATTGTCAGGAAGATGCTTGCAGTTCTGAAGGAGGCTTGGCCAATTAGAGCTTTTAAACCAGGTCTCTGTGTAAAAAAAGGAGGTAGTCGTCACTCTGAATCTACCATGGTAATATGTTTTACTTATTAACTGTTATTATTAATATTATTAATACTTTATTATACTTATTATTATTACAACAATTACTATTAATACTAGTCACTTCTCATTTCTTGAGATATTTAAGTTCTTTCTCTGATGAATTATTGTTTATCTATGGTATAAGAATATAACTTGTCTACTGTTGTAGAGGATAATTCCATTGTGGAGAAAATTTATTTTGTTGAAGTCTTACGGTGTTATACAGTAATATTTAGTGATAACGGTGTTTTTAGCACAATTTATTGCTGCTCATAATCATATCAAGTTACTCACACAGCTTTCTAACTTCGTTTATGTAATTCCATTATTTTTCATCTCTTGACCTGATTGGTAGTAATAATTTCCACATTTCTGGTATAAGTGATGAGTCATTCCTATTGCACGTGTTGGGTGTAGATTCGATGAACATGGATTCAGTAATCAACTTCTCTCTCCACCTACCTATATTACTTTACAGAATTTTAACCCTCTCCCACCACCATATTGTGTGCTTGTGTGTTAATGTATGCAGTGCAATATAGCGTGAAGCTTCTTTCTAAATTACTTATCTTTGCGATATCAATCATCCTAACCTAAGCTAAATTCTTTTGCTGTGACAGGGGCTATCTGACTGCCTCGATCTACTGGTCTGACTAATCTATGTAGCTGACTTAACTCACAGTTTTTTTTCCTTCACGTTCCCCAGTGGAACATAGGGCTTCAAGCTAGTCGCTTGAAGTTCCTGTAGCAGTGTTTATTTTTACAGGATGGGGTCGCTAACCTCATGCCCAACCCTTCCTCTTTACCAGGATTATTTCTAGCTTTGCGAGGTAAAGCAGTGCGGTGGCCGGGAGTCAAACCTCGGACCATGTGCATGGTCGGCGAGCGTCCTAACCGCTATGCCACCGACGCTAACTCATTGTGATTGCAAGATATTTTTTAAATGATATTATTTTGTTTAATTGGGTCAACCTACAGAGTCCTTTCACCTACAGAGATCAGGGAAAAGCTCTCTAGCTTTTATAAACTTCTATTCCTTGTTTTAATTTCGTATCAGGCAAAAAATGCTTTCCATAGGTGATCACAGTTCACTAAAGCATCATCAGTAAGGTAGAGAGAAAGAATCTGCATCAATATAACATTAAAACTGATTGAATATAAGGTCACATATATAGAGAGGAAGAAATCACACAGAATTTATGAATTTATTGTATGAACAGTAGGCCAGGAGTGTAGCAGTAATGCTTTGCTGCACCTGTTTCTTTTACACACCCACAGCTTCAGTTGACTTAAGCAAATTGCAAATTCCTCTCTTGTTTGCAATTTTTCTGTATCTAGAGATCTTTGCTAATCTACTCTATATCCGACAGATAATAGGGAAAGATCCTTCAGCAGTATACAGCCTATTTAGACGATTACGTGATGCAAAATAGAACTGTTGATGGTGTTTACCACGGGATTTATTAAGCCCCATCATCACTGGTAGGAATTTCCAGGCACGAAAAATTAAGTTCGTAGAGCAGTGACTAATAAGGTCTGGCTTTAGTGGAGTGGTTGGATTGATATTATTATTCATTATTATTATTTCCTTTAATTCCTAGAGGAACATAAGGCTTCAGCCGTGCGTCTCCATTGCGTTCGGTGCTCCACCAACGTTTTCACCTGCCTCTAAGTCTGCCCACATTCCTTCATCTCCTCTTCACATGACCTGCTCCAAGTCACTCTTGCACTGACGACCAACTCGTCGCTCCCCTTTCGGGTTCACTCGAGCAATGGCTTGTCTAGTGATGTCGCTAACTTGATGGCTTCCTCAGAGTATGGCCAAGCCAATCCACCTCCATTTCTTCCTGCTTATTTGTTGCACAGTCGGTCCCTGCTTGGTTGGTTCGCTCATTCCCAGAGATCCCTGATGCTGATCAGCTCTGGCCGGCCATCTGATCTTGAGTGCAGTACTGAGCGAAGACAGCTGTTGTTGAAGGTCTGTAATTTGTCCGAGGTGGTCTTTATGACTCGCTGGTCAAGTCTCTGATCCGTATAGTGAGTAGCACTGACTGACTTCACATCGGAGTTGAAAACCCGAATCTTATTTTTGATGCTGAGTGCTGAGTGTTGACCTCCACACAGACTTGGGAGTAATGAAAGCTTGTTTTGCTTTCCCGATCCTCGCTTCTTTGATATCCTCATCAGTTCCGTCCGCCTGTAGTTGAAAGGATGCTTCGCAGATAGGTAGGCAGCTAGGTGAAGGAGGTTGTTTCTTTCAGGTTCCTGCCATTTATGCCGGCTGATTGTTGTCTGTTGTTGTCACTGTGGCTATAAGTGTTGGCCAGGATTGATCGATACATTGTAATTTAAAAAAATAATGTCTTCTTCATTTCTTATCCATATTTATTGTCCTTGTTGTATGTACTTTTGGCGTAGGCTTGTTTAAGTCAGGTATCATGTGCCATGTAGTCCGTCCGGGCTAACTTAATGCTCAGTTATTCTATTACCTAATTAGTCTACCTGATTAATCAGTCATTTTCTTTTCTCAATTTTATGTCCTGTCTCCTCTGTAAAATGTTTCTCGATAGAAGAGCTAGGTTGTCATCTGGTTCTCACCATTGGTGAGTTCTGGAGTTTCAGTTAGTTACTGAGGCCATTTACGAATTTGCTCAGAGGTGTTGAACGAGTGCTTCCTATCCATCCGTATCCACCGAAGTCACAACTGATAAGCGGAGAAAGGAAGTTGACACAAACTCTCCTGGACAATAATTATCCAGACAAGTTCGTGAGGAGATATAAAATGGTCAGTAGAACACCAGGTTCAACTCTTTATCTCGCCACTAAGAAAGACGTATATATTAAGCTACCCTTCAATGATTCGGTGATTGGTGGTAGTGTGTTGAAACACAAGGATATGCACAAGACGACATGGATTTCACCAGATGGAAACACCAAGAACCAAATAAACTTCATCTCAATTTCAAGAAAGTGGAGACGGAGCCTACTGGACACAAGGTCAAGGAGAGGAGCAGATGTGGGTTCAGACCACTATCTAGTACAAGGGACTTTCAAGGTGAAGCTAAAAGCCTCGAGGATAGCTGGGGATAGGCCACAATGCAAGTTCAACACTCAATTACTGAAGGACACAACCACAAAAGACACCTTCACTGCAACTGTCAGAGCAAAGCAGGAAACACTACGCGACATCACTGAAGAATCATGCGTGGAAGAACATTGGAACTCTCTGAAGGCGATTCTCAACGAAACGTGTTCAACGGTTCTAGGAAGAAAGAAGAGACAAGACAAGGAATGGCTCTCAACGGACACTTGGAAATTAATAGAAGAGAGGAGAATGGTGAAAGAGAAAATGATTCAATGCAAGGACGGACAGGAGAAGGAGACGATGAGCTCAACTTACAAAGCATTGGACAAAGAAGTGAAGAAAAGTGCTAGGAAGGACAAAAGACGATTCTACGACAATCTAGCTACTGAAGCTGAGAAGGCAGCAGGCAAAAGGGACCTGAGGACACTATATCAGATAACCAAATCTCTATCCGGGAAGAGACCAACACAAGCGAAACCTATAAAAGACAGCCAAGGGAACCCAATTACCAAGGAAGAAAAACAGATTAAACAATGGGCGGATCACTTCAAAGGACTCTTGAACCGACCATCACCTGCAACCCGTCCAGAAATACCAACAACAGCGCGCACACAACTGCAAGTTGACACCAATCCTCCAACGAGAGCTGAAGTCTTGAATGC